TGAAAAAACTGCAATTATTCAGAGACAAGTAATAGCACAAGGCTCAGGAACAATAGCTTGGAAGTGCTTACCAAGGCCCTCAGGGAGAAGCACCCATCAGGCAGCTGCATCAAACAGCACTATCAACTCTCATTGATTTGACTGCCACTGTTATTCGGGTGAAAAATCGCTCCTTTAAAGACCTCTCCAAGATACATTCTGACTGCAGACATCCTCAGAAAACTCCCACACATCTCCTTAGCAGCCCACCTATCACTTCCTTGCAGGGCTTAAGATGCTATTGTTTTTTTTCTGAAAATATATTTTGAAGCACTGGAGTCAGGTATGTTTGGTCTCTGCTCTTCAGCTGTAAAATCTAATAATCATGATTAGGGTTTTTTTTTGGCATCAATTACTTCATTAGAGTTACAATGAATAGATAACAGGAAGAATTAAGTAAGGATAATTGGCATGATAAATGAGATAAATAATTATAATGGTAACTAATATTTATTAAGCATTCACTATATGCCAGACTCGTGCTGACTATGTGTCACTGAACTCCTCTGAAAGACCTGTTACTTTCTCACTTTAAACATTGGGAAGTTCGTTTAGCATTTATGTGTTAAGGTGACCCCCATATAACTCTTTCCCCTTGAGTGTAGGCAGATCCTGTGATTTGCTAAAGGTGAAAGAACTTTTCAGCTGTAATTAAGGTCTCAAATCATTTGACTTTGACTTAATCAAAAGGGAAATTATCCTGGTTGTGTCTTACCTAATCAAGTGAGTTCTGAAAAAGAGTGCCAGCTATTCAGCATATGAAGAATACATGATATACTTTTTACCAGAAGTTAGCATTCTAGGTAGAAAGGCTCTAGACAAATGATTATAATTCAGTTTGATGTGTAGTACTTAAGCAGAGGTAGTGATTGGTCATCTTGGGAGCACAGATACATGAGCTACAGCCTACATGGAGAATGTCAATATTGAAGGATGAATACCAATTTTGTGAGTATATTACAGAGGAGCTTAAGTAATGGTACAGAATCTTGAAAGTGTACTGCAATGCAGCCAAGTGGCTCAGACTGGGGGAGAGAAGTCAGAATTATTCTCTTACTGATCTTGAAGATGTGAAATACCATTAATTCTACAGCTACAAGGAAATAAATTCAGCCGACAACTTAAGAGAGCTTGGAAAAAGATTCTTCCCCAGTCAAGCCTCTGATCAGAATTCAACCTGACTAATGCTTAGTTAAAGTTTTTTAAGACCTGGAGCAGAATAATCAGCTAAAATGTGCCCAAGCTCCTAATCCACCCCAGGGAGACTGTAAGAAAATAAATGGATGCTTTAAATCAATTTTAATTGAGGTAAAATTCATATCAAGTTAACCATTTTGAAGCATATAACTCTGTGGCACTTAGTACACTCATGTTGTACAACAATTACCACTGTTTCTAAAACATTTTTACCACCCCAAAAAGAATCTCTGTACCCATTAAACAGTCACTCTTCATCCACCTCCTGCCAGCTTCTACAAGCAAATAGTTTCTGTATCTATAGATTTACCTGTGAACCAGGTGAACACAAAATTTTGGTTTTTATGTGTTGCATTTAATGAATCATTAAACATTTAGCAAGAACAGCATCTACTTGGAATTTCATTTCAGAAGGCTGAATTTGGTGGGGGAAATAGTGGTATGTGGATAGGAAGACCTTGTACAATTTTCTATTTTCTTGAATATGTAACATCACTAGGCCTCAGTGTCTTGTTCTCCAAAACATTAGTGCACACTAATTTTTTCAAGTCCATTTAGTGTCTTTATTAAAGATCAGTTATTGATGACATTTGTGAAGTTTTCGTTTTTGACAGTAGAAATTATAATGCTATAAACATTGCTCTTATCCAAATTATTCAGTTCTCTCTACCTTGATGTTCTAAGAATTATGACCAGTTAATATTTACTCAGTTAATAAGCATAACAGTGTTCACTGAGTTAATAAGCATAACAGTGTTAAATGAGTGCTTAGTATCTGCTAGGAATAATTATAAGCACTTTTCTTTGCATTATTAGAGTTATATAAAACGATGCTTCTCTAATTTTAATGTTCATGAGAATCATTTGTGAATCTTGTTAAAATTCAGATTATGATTCAGAAGTTCTGGGGTTGAGCTTGAGATTCTGTGTTACTAACAAGCTCTTAGGTAATTCTGGTAATCCTGGAGTGAAGATTATAGTTAGAGTAGCAAGCATGTAAACAACCTTGTTTTGTATATAAGAAAACAGGATTCAGAGGTAAAATAAAGACAACAGTGCTGGGAAGTGGTTGAGTCGGATCTAAACTCAGGTGCATCCAATAAATAAAGCAGCTACCAAGATGCTGGAAGATTCAGAGATCAGAGTCAGCTGAATGTGTTTTGAGGCTGACATTGGCCTATCTTAAATGGTGAGAATTTGCTGGGAAGAAGCAGGAGATGGATTTAGATAAGTTGATGGGAACCTCTTTATGGAATTTTGTGAAAACTGCTGAATAATTTTGAGCTAATATAGTCTCTAAAGTTTAGATTTGAACCAAAGTTAATTCATGGAATGTCACGATAAACATTTAGAGCTGAGAACGAGTGTATTAGTTCATTCAGGCTGCCTTAGTAAAACACCATATACTGAGCAATTTATATCTAATAGAAATGCATTTCCGATAGTTTTGAAAGCTGGAAAGCCAAAGGTCATGGTGCCAGCGGGTTCAGTGTCTGGTTAGGACCCATTCCATGGATGGCATCTTCTGGCAGCATCTCCACATGAACAAAAAGGCAGATGGGTTACTAAAATGCCCTTGAACCCCGTTACTCCTTCAACAAATGTGTGTGTGTGTGTGTGTGTGTGGTGTATGCATGATATATGTTATGAACAAGACCTTTGTAACTATAGTTCAAAAGATAACACAAATGACAGAGCCTCTTTTATAAGGGCACTGATCCTATTCACAAGGGTGGAACCTTCATGACCTAATTACCTCCTTAAAGTCCCGCCTCTTAATACTATTTCATTGGGGATTAAGTTTCAGCATGAAATTTGAGGGAACACATTTGGACCGTAGCAAAAAGTGACCTTAGGACTATCTGAGTCTTAACTGCTATTTTATAAATAGGAAAACTGAGGCCTATAGAGGAGCTCTAAATGAAACATGTGAAACGTCTCAAGCTAAGATTGAACAGGAGACACCTGGGTCTTACCCATGAAGTTTGGTACATTACGGGGCTCAGTAAGAAATTAAATGCAAAGGCAGACTTAACATTGTTAGTAGGATACACTGAACTAGGTTCCCTTTTAAAGAAACGGACAAAACGAGAGGGTATTTTCATATGCTTTACAGCGTTCTGCTTTCTATGTGTGTGTGGGTTTGGGCTCTACGTCCCCACCCAAATCGTATCTCAAATTGTAATCCCCAGGTGTGAAGGGAGGCAAGTGATTGGATTGTGGGAGTGGTTTCCCCCATGTTGTTCTCCCGATGGTGAGTGAGTTCTCACGAGATCTGATGGTTTTATAAGACTCTCTTCCTCGTTACCTTCTTCTCTCGCTCCTGCCATCTTGTGAAGAAGTTGCCTACTTCCTCTTTGCCCTCTGCCATGATTGTACGTTTCCTGAGGTCTCCCCAGCAATTCAAAATTGTGAGTTATTTAAACCTCTTTCCTTTGTAAATTATCCAGTCTTGTGTATTTCTTCACAGCAATGTGAGAACAGACTAATGCAGCATGTTTGTGTGCTTCCACCATTTTAAAATTATTTGTTCTTAAAGTTAGTAAACTGCCTGAAAATGACTTTGATAAAATAGCAATATATATTGACACGTTTTCTGGATTAATTTTGGTGTGTGCTTAATGAAGCAGCTACGTTGTCTGGGGTGTACACCCAGGGTTTGTCATTTCGTCCTGGGAAAATTTAGGACATGAACACACACGAGGAGTTTAGGAGTGGAAGTTTAACAAGAAGGTGAGAAGAGAAAGAGAAACAGCTCTCTGTAGAGAAAGAGGGGTCTCTCAGCAGGAAATACCTGCTGGCGGTGGTTTTGCTGGATTTTGTAGTACAGCTTGAGGAGCCAGTGTCTGATTTTCTAGGGCTCACAGATTGGTTCAATCAGGTATGATGATTACATAGCATACAGGAAAGGCTGGTTGCCCCACCCTAATCTGATTATGCAAATGAACGCTCATTGGCCCGCGCCGTCTTTTCTGGTCCTTACTGTAAATGTGGCTGGAAGAGAAGGGAAGATGGAGCTGCCATCTTGAACATGTGTAGTCCCTAGTTCCTGCAGGCATTCACCCGTGCAAGCTCCCAGCTTTTCTATGTCTGCAGCTCGACTTCACATGCTGCTCTTTATTAGGAAAATGATTTGGGGCTGCTTTTCATTAAAAGGAGAACCTTACCGAGGTCTTCCGTACCTTTGCTATCTGCCTAAGTAATTTCTTCTGAACTCCTGTGTCACTAAGAAAAACATTCTGCCAGAATGAGTGCATATTGGGTTTGGGAAGGGGGAGTGACAGTCTCCCTTTCAAATGAAAATAGCCAACGTAGGTGGTGCAGACATTGGCAGATTCTACTGTTAGGGCCATTATTTCAAATTTAAGATTTTCTCTCAGGTTTTTTTCATTTGTTAACACACTCAAAGGAGAAACTGGCAATCTCACTTGAGCATAGGAGAACTCCAAGGTGAGTGTTAAATGGTCATATTGCAGGGAGTCAGAGGGCTCCCTGCAATCCCGTCTGAAACCCCAACACCAAACTGAAACAGAGATTACCTTAGATACTCAACATAATTTGAGGCAACCAAGCTGAAAGTGATTTGGAACTTTTCTTATTTATAGGATTTGCCACTCACTACACCTGCAATCATTAGAGACCACTTTGGAGCCCACAGCTGAGCTGTGGAACACCTAATAAGTAGAGTGCTACTTTCTACTTTTCATTTTCAGAAGCACTGTTAGAGCTAATCTTTAAGTAGAAAAACACATGATTTCAATTAGTTTCTAGGGGTTAGCAACATGGGAACTCATTTATTTGATACTTTAAAGTCTCAGATTGCTTTTATTCACCACAGATGTAGAAGCTAAAGAAACCAACACCTTTCACTATGGTTTGTGTATCTTCTGAGCTATGATCACAAAGAACTTGTTCATAATAAATACATGTTACACACAATTTGTTGAAGTGGTGATGAGGTTCCAGAGCATTTTAATCACTGACAATTTGCCTTCAGTCATCTTGAGATACTTTTCCTTGGAGAATTATTTTTGATGTAGATTACTGGATCCAAAAAAAAAAAAAAAACAACCCAGTAAGTCAATGGTATTTTTGAGGGAGGTGGGTAAAGACAAAAAGGAAAAAGACAATAACACACACCTGAATCGCATCCTTTTCCCCTTCCCAGTATTCTACCCTATTATCTAGAAGGGAGGGAAGATTTAGTGTGAAAGTTCTCAGTATACTACTACCAAGCAGTGACCTTTGTGATTGCAAGTGGCTCTCACCTGTCTGCCTGCCATTATGGTACCACAAAATTCAGGAACTCAATATTCTGGTGGTATGTCTCCAAAAATAGGTGGTGTGGGGTATTGAGTATTCCACAAGCTGCATTTTCTTCTGAATATCTTCTGCTGTGTATCGATTCTTCCATTTGTCCACTAGGTCTTTTCTACATCACTTTCTTAGGCTAGCTAACACATAATATCTATGTTGAATGAGCTGGCCACCTAGAATTAATTTGTAAGTATGATGTCATGAATCTCCATTACTCCCTTCTGGGGAAGAGTCATTCTGATGAAAATTTCTTGTGCCCGGCCCTTAACACCTACCTTTCCTGAACATTCCCAATAATTACTTAAACATACCAGACTCAAACACCTCTCTAACCCATTATAGTGCTCCATTTTTTTGTTTAAATCTTAGAAGGCAAAACTCTAGCCCTGACACTTATTTGTCCAATTATTCTCTTTATTTAATATTCTCCTTTGCATGACTTTGGAAAAAAACTTTCTCTGAGTCTTACTATCTCTTATCTATAAAGGAGGGAATTGAAATGGTGGTTCTCATAATCTTCTGCATTTCTATCATGTCTATCAAATCATGGTGCTAGGAAAGGATGAAATGTGATATGCATTACTGGTGGGTGAACATCAAACCTAAATCCAAAAAGTATCTCCAAAAAGTCAGTGTGAGGCTGGCAAAATTAGACATGTCCGCATTTCCATAACCAAAAATCAAAAAATCATCCGTCAAAATACAGCACTGCCAAGCCTACTCCCTTTTCTGTTAATTTGTAGCATTTCCTTAATACAAAGCAGAGTGAGCCCCAGTTGTCTATTTGGCCTTTGATGTATGACTACATAGAAGACGTCTCTCTAACAAGTACACAGTCACTAAATATAAAGTTCTTGGGATCATTGAGATGACACAGATAATTGATTCAGAAAAAGCCTCTTGAGAAAGCTGTGCATGAGGTAGAAGAACTTCTGTGATGTGCTTTAGAGAACTCGGATTGTCAAAGTGAAAAGCAGTAGAGTCACAGGAATTTTTCAAAACTGCAATTTGGTAAGAGACCGAATTTACATGGTATTCATTAGCCTGTGACACTCTACCATTAATAATTCTCAAACATGGCCGGGCGCAGCGGCTCATTCCCGTAATCCTAGCACTTTGGGAGGCCGAGGCAGGTGAATCATTTGAGGTCAGGAGTTTGAAATCAGCTGGCCAACGTGGTGAAACCCCATCTGTCTTAAAAATACCGAAAAACAATTAGCCAGGCTTGTTGGCAGGTGCCTGTAATCCCAGCTACTTTGGAGGCTGAGACAGGATAATTGCTTCAACCTGGGAGGCAGAGGTTCCTGTGAGCTGAGATTGCACCATTGCAGTCAAGCCTGGGCAACAAGAGTGAAACTCCATCTCAATCGATCAATATCAAAGATTTCCACCATGAACGGCGCATAGACACTAAAAGGCCAAATATAGTTTGTCAACTTTACTTCCTCTCAGATCACTAGGGTTAAAGCCTGGGAGCCATCTCCACTTCTTTTCCTCTCTTCACCATTTCAGCCAATCAGCTGCAAAACCCCAAACATTTTATCACACAGATTCATGCTCTTATGACAGCCCCATTGCCGGGGCTTCTGTTTAGGCACCATTAAGTGTTACTTGAATTGAGCAATTATTACATTTAATATTTTTCCTTTCCTTCTATCTTAACCTTTTAAACCTGCCATATGATGCTATAGTTATGTCTCTAAAATTACATCTCTGATGTCACCCCCTGCCTAATAATTTCCCATGGATATTTGTGGTTCTTGCTTGGGTCTATTAAACAGTCCTTTCTAGTTTCATCTTCTCCCATCTAACAATCTCCATATCACTGACCTTCCTCTAACCAAATATTTGAGAAACACACTCTTCATTATAAATACCATACATTTCCAAATCTTTTTTTTTTTCAACCTCAATATATACTGTTGCACAACGATATAACATTCTTTTATGCTTGGTAAATCTTTACATTTAAATCTCTGGTCTGTGAAAAATATGTACTAGGTCTTCAAAAACAATTTGGTGTGCTTTCTCTGTAATGTAAGAGTAACCTGTTGATCCGTTTGTTACTATTCGTAATTCTGGCTACTATGATGAACCTTGAGGGGGAACCCAGCCTAATTCAACTTACAATTCCAGGGCCTGTGCTGTGCCAAGAATATTTCAAGCACTAAATAAATAGTATAGAAAAAAGAAGTAGAGTGGGAAGAAGTAGAAAAGAGCATTTCCAAGAGTGAGAAGAATCCATATGGTGGAGCTTAATGTAAGGCAAGAGTAATGCCCTGAGTTAGTTCTGTGTTGCCTTTGCTGGATAGCGTTCAAGAGCATTGCCAGAAGTTGCATGTGGCCTATATTTATGTTCACCAGAGGATCAGTTTCTCAGAATGTTCTCTAAGCAGCTGGCAATTTTCTTGTCCGAAGTTAGTTTAAACTTTCTTCTCAACCATGCATAAACATAGCCAACTTATAAGGCACAATGTGGCAGGTACTGTCAATTGCGTCAGACAAAGCCTCTGTGTGAGCAAACACAGATGAAGAGGCAGAAACCTTGGACTGGGGAGATACAGTGGAATATCACAGCTACAACCAGTATTTTGCGGAAAGCACTGGAAGTAAATAATGTTGTGTAGAAATTCATGAAAACGCAATAATCAAAAAGTATTCTTGTCCCAAAGGGAGATATGAATGTAATTTAGAAACAAACTAGCAAACAGTAGACATCCTGACCCTAGCTAGACATCATGGTACATGCACAAGAGGACAAATACTGAACAATATTCTTAGCTTCATTAGCTAATAGCAATCTTCAGATCCTTATACTGAATAAGTGGGGGCTAAGATCCAATTTTACTTTATCCACTACACAAAATTGCATAGTTTCTGTAGAGTGAGGTGTAGTTGTTTGTCTACATCAGTGGTTCTCAACTGGAGGTGATTTGGCAACAACCCTAGGCAACATTTGACAATGTCTGAAGATATTTTTGGTTGTCACAGCTGAGGTTGGGAGGAATGGTGGTATTACTGGTATCTAGTGGATAGAAGCCAGGGATACTGCTAACCATCTCACAGTGCACAGGTCCACCCTATAACAGAGGAACATCTGGGCCAGAGTAAGTTTGAGAACAGTGCTAAGTTTCCCAATAGTGCTAAGTTTGAGAAGCCCTTTTATAGATTGTTGAGTAGGATAATCTCAGCAATTCCTTTATCAATTTGAATAAAAGTCAGTTGAAAGAAACAACCGTAAGAACAAAGTCCAAACAAGGCAGATACCCAGACATAGTGATTTTATCTGACCAGTGGCTATTTGATCATGGTGCTCAAAGAGAGGTAAGTTCTCAACTCTTCCCTTCCTATCTCTTACTATCTTTGCAATTTGATCAGGATTTCCACTCACATATGGATGAGCTGCATTTTATGTAAGCAAGCAAACAGACCAGAGCATTAGCAAAGATGAGATAATTCATGACCAGGAGGCAGAATCCCATTTGTGGTGCATCTTGGCAGGAAGGGGCAACCTACCTAAGACAAAAGTCTCTAAGGTGAGATTCCATTCCCTGTATTCTTCAGGGTTCTAGAACCCAAGCTTGAAGGAGCACTGGATTGAGAGTCACAGGATTTGAACTTACAATGTCCTGGATTTGCTTCTCTGTGCCTAAGTTTTTATATCTTCAAAATGGATGGTCCAGAATGTTTAGATATGTCCCCACCTAAACACAGAATAATTTCTAAAGATGTAATTTCATGTGGAAACTAAAAATATCCAGCTAAAAGTGGTGTTTCTCTGGTAAAAATAATTGGCTATTTCATGGGCTTTTCCTATTCAGTCACCTGTCCTGAAGCTTTGAGATATCTCTACAGATCAGAAAGGGGCAAACACCACTGGAACACACATGTGGCTATTCTCTTTCTAGTGCATTAGAACATTATTCTGAAGATTATCAAATATTAGTGTCCTAACTCTTTTAAACAATATGCAAAATGCTTACAGAGGTACAAAGAGTGATTCTTCAACCATAGAGGTACAGGAATCATACACAAAGAGTGATTCTTCAACTGTAATGACAATATTTATCACCTGGGAAATCTGGTAAAATTGCACATCCACTAGTCAGACTTCTAGAGATTCAGATATGTGAGTTGTAGTGAGCAAATTTTGGCTAGGTCACCATCATCTACTTCCTGCTTCTTTAACCAACAACACCTAAATTTTCTTTTAACGGGCCACCCATACCTTCAGTCCTACAGCTTGTCTGAAATTGATCTCATACTTCTCCACTGGTGCGTGAATGGATACATACCTAATTTGGAACAATGCTGGCTAATGCTGCTGGAAAATAGCTTGCTTTTTTCATCAGTCACCTCTTCCTGTCCGTTGAGTGGTATGCAGTTACCTCTATGAGGTCTGTAACTCTTTCATCAATGGCTGGTACATGTGAGGCATTCACCTAAGATAAAACCATGCACAGAGCTTCTCACGTATATTTGAAATAGAAAATATATGGTATATTTTCATGTTGAGCATTTAAAAAATGTATGTATTTTGCAATGAGAGGTATACTCACATTCCCTTAATTTATTTAGAAGTAGATCTTATACTGCTAGCATTTGATATTGGAGTAGAGGAAAAAATACATATGTGCTGTGATTAAAACCCTCAAAATAGTTTATATTATGTTAGTGCTTGACACTATGCTTATGCTGAAAAAATATGTTGGTGCCTATCGAGCGTGTTTTATTTTTTAACACATTATTTTATATGTCAAAGTAGGCTTTTGAACTAATGTTCATTACCAATATTGCATCCTTGAGTGCAGTTCCACCTTATATCTCATTCTGAAGAATTTTAAAGCTTAAATAAGATTCTGGATTCAGAGGTCAACCATTCTATTTAAAATGTAAAAGCACAAAATAATCTCTCTTGCACATGATCCAATAATATTAAACTGACATAAGTACAAGTTTAAAACATGTTTTGTTACTGTTAGGAAAATATTGCAATAAACTAAGAGAATCTAGTTCAAACATGTTATCAAATTTGTGACAAAATGTATATTTTGACTTCATTTCAACGAATCCTGCGGAATCAACCAGTTATCTCTCAGATCTAATTTTAACTCTAAAAAGGGAATATTGCCAGATATTCCTTAGGAATTTGTTGGAAAATAGGTTCATTAATATTTCTGTTCTGTGCTAAGGACGGTGAAGATAAGCTTGAAAACTAGATGCCATTGTACGGCAGGTATACTATAAAATGCAGATATCTCTCATATGACTGAAGATGTACTATGCTTTAGAAAAATATGTATAAATGAAATGGGCACTATTAATAAGAATTATTTGTTGACTGTTTTATGTATGCAAGGCACTACTAAGATACATATCCAGCCACTATCTATAATGACCACTGCTTATAATTATGTTTATGAAACACAATTGATGCCAAGTTTTTAAGGACGAGGTGATAAACCAACTTTTTTCAAATGATATGAAATTCAAGAACAGCTTTACTGGGAAAGACATGGCCTACAGGGGTCTTAAGGAGGGTTGAATAATCTATCTCTCCTATATATATGTGGTTTTTTTTTTTTTTTTTTTTTTTTTTTTGCTTCCTTGCCAAGTTTCTACAAAATCATTGCAAGGGCTCAGTGAATTGGGGATTATTTTCATGGCCCCTAAGACTAGGTCTCACACCTTACCCTCCTTGCCAAGATTTCCCAGAGATGTTCCTGAATATTCATTCCATCAAACAATGACTCCTAATTTCTTTTACCCATGCAAGCCTGGCAATGCAGCAAAAAGCTATTCTTCACTGTCACACACATCATATAGACGAGGTTCTGCTGGCAGTTCAAGATAAGTAATATCTGCTGGAAGAGAGTCAAAGATGTAAATCCTTCCTCTGCCTTATGTACTGCAGACTTGTTTAGCAAAAGACTGTCTGGATGCTGGAGAAGTTGATCTCCAAATGACTTACAAACTTCAAAATCACAGCCGTGTTGAGGAAGGGAAAGAGAGGACAGGGTTATGAGGGGGAAACACAGTGGGGCAGAGGGAAGGTCACAATCACTGTCGTGCTGGGGAGGAACTGTGAAGTAGTGGGTCTGGAAGCAAACTTAAGAGTCAGAAGTTACAGTTCTCTTTGATGCTTCTATCTGGATATAGAACTTTGGATAAATCACTGAACTCTCTAGTCCTTGGCGTCCTCATTTGTAAGGTAGGAATCTCTACCTATGATACTTACTTCAGCAGGGTGGGCGTTGTAAGGGTACCATGATTTTATTGGTGATATAGTTTACACTGCTGCAGCTCTGCCTCTGTACACAATCCCTCTACAAACAACCCATGCCTTCTCCTTTCATATGACGATACAAATAGCTGATAACTCTCGGAGACACCCCCTAATGGTGTAAAAAGGCAAACTCTAAGAATAGTGTTGGCAATTAGTTTTTGGAAACTAAACTAATTGGAAAATTAGTTTTATTATCTCTACCTAGGAGTTGGGAGCAGATAGCAGCCAGGATGGTGAATGGTAAAATATGCAGACTCCGTAATCAGATAGACTTTGGTTTGACATCTAACAAACTACTTACCTTGTTAAACTTCCTGGTGATTAATCTGTGGAATGAGAGTGATGATAGCGACTACCTCTTCGGGTTGTTGTGAGTATTAAATGAGATTATGTTTGGCCCCCATTCTGGCATAGAAATGCTCTCAAAGGTTTGTTAATCTTCTGGTATTTTGTTATCTTTTTCTGTTCTTGCCTGGAGTATCATGCTTAGCTTTTACTGAATAAATCTGTGCAGCATTTATTCAGTCCAGCACTTATTCAGAGTTGTCCACATGAGAAGCAGCCCCATAGCATGTCAGCATCTACAGTTTTGGATCCCTGTCTCAGGAACTTTTGATTGGGTGCTCATCTCTGAAAGCCCTTTTCTTTTCATGGTATTCTAATTCATATGTGCTATGTCTCTCAAGTGACAGTCACATGAGTATTTTATGCCTTCGTTTCAACTATTCTGGAGGATAATGACATGTTAGTTTGAAGGATCTTACTCTTATTTACCCAGATTTTATAAAATACAGTGTGATATATGCCACCTAGTCTATATTTTAAGCCAGACTATCAACCACAAATATACCCTTAAAATATGGTGATGTATTATGGATAAAGACACAGAAACACATGCTTACTTATTTATAAGAGGGTTCTACAGATTGGAGAAAATTCCTTTTATACTCCATGAGTGTGGACCCTCCCTTTCTGAGGTCCGTGGAGCTGAGGGCTCATAGTACTGCTTTGGAAGAAGCTGAGGAGCTCTGGCATGGCTCCTATTGCTTTCTTGCTGACTTCTCTCTGTTCCTGCTTTCATTCAATCTTTGTTGCATGCAAGACCACCCCAGAAGGGCATATTTGGTTCTCAGGGTCAAAGCATCTCAGATTAGAATGACTTACGACCCTCCATAGGGCCACAGTACATACACAGGTATCTGTAGTATTACAATTTCATGGAAAGGGGTTTTGATTAGGGAAAGACAATATCTAAAAAAGGCTCCATAAGGAGTTAATAAAAAAAAAAAGTTGAAAACCACTGCTGTAAGTCTATTGAGTTTCCCAAAATGACTCACCTGTATTCTACCTAAACACAAGGTTTGGAAACAACTGAGAGAAAGACCACTATGAACCTGTTATGAACTCAACTCTGTCCCTGTGAAATTCATATGTTAAAGCCCTCTCAGTGCTTTAGAATGTGACTGTATTAGGGAAAAAAGAGCCTATAAAGAGGTAATTAAGGTCAAGTAAGGTTATAAGAGTAGAGATCCGATTCGGGATGGCTGGTATTTTTGTAAGAAGAGGAAGAGACACCAGTGATACACATGCACGGAGAAAAGGTCATGTGAGGACACAATGAATGAGAAGAGTGCCATCTGTGAGCCAGGGAGTGAGGCCCCAGGAGAAAGCAAGCCTGCCTTATACCTTGGTCTTGAACTTCTGGCCTCCAGAATGTGAGAAAATAAGTTTCTGTTGTTTAAAGCACCCTGTCTGTGATATTTTATTATGGTAGTTCTAACACAGTAATACAGAACCAAAAAATCAGTTTCATATCCTGAAACTCACAGTATTACACACTGCCAGAATGTGTACTTTCTAATATTGAGACCCAGAAGTAGTCAGACTTAGTAAGAATAAGTGCTGTTAAACTGCAAACCTACCCATCAATCACACTAAGTGGCTTCTGCATGCCTGGGAGGCATTGAATGAGGAAGAGAAAGAGGTCAGAAATGGGAAATTACTGGAGCTCCCTCCTCATGGAGGAAACATCTGGAGAGGGACCACTTTTACCACCAATCTTGTACAGATCACAGAGAGTTTGTTAGAATTCTCTAAATCTATCTAAAATGATTAAGCACAACCACTGGAATACCAAGAGGGATCGACCCTTTTGCTATTTTGTCTTTTTGATTCATAATCACCAGCCGGAGAGCAGACTAGTTCATAAACTAG